GTTGGCAGTGGGGCAGGGAGAGCACATCGCCTTGGTTGGCAGTGGGGCAGGGAGAGCACATCGCCTTGGTTGGCAGTGGGGCAGGGAGAGCACATTGCCTTGCTTTGGGCACACAGGAATCCTCAGCAGCCCTGGCAGGCTGAGGGGAGACCGCTCAGCAGGAGTTGAGGCTTCAACAGTTTCCTTCCGAGAGGATACAAAAGTGAGTTTTTGCAGCCCAGCCAGGTGGCTCATGCCTGCAATCCCAGCACTCTGGGAGGCTGAGGTGGATGGATCACTTGAGCTCAGAAGTTTGAGATCAGCCTGAGCAAGAGCAAACCCCCGTCTTTACTAAAAGTAGAAAAACAACCAGGTGTTGTGGCTGGAGCCTGTAGTCCTAGCTACTTGGGAGGCTGAGGCAAGAGGATTGCTTGAGCCCAAGAGTTTGAGGTTGCTGTGAGCTGTGATGACACCAAGGCACTCTCCCCAGGGTAACAGAATGAAGCTCTGTCTCAAAAAGAAAAACAAGGTTTTGCCAGATTCATTTTTTTCAGAATGTGCTCTCAGAACTATACAAAAGGCTCCTGAGAAAAGGATTGAGATTTTCACAGTCTCCTGCTGCCCTCATCTCTGCTAGGGGCAGCTCCATCCTATGGATCAGGCCAAACACTTCAATTTGTCTGGGTTGTCCTTGAACCCTCCTTCACACATGACTCCAGTCTCTCAGCAAACCCTGTCAGTGCCCCCAGAAAATCTCCCCACAATCTAAACTCTTTCCCCCTCCACTACCCCTACCCCAGCCTCTATCCCCTCCTACCTGGACATCTGGGCAGCCTCTCCTGCTCCTGTCCCTGCCTCCTGGGTCTGGTCCCTACTGGCAGCCAGAGGGAGCCTGGGAACACCTGCATCAGGTCAGAGCCCTGCCCTGGTTGCACCTCGCTGCGGGTAACAGGAAGTCTAATGTTGAGCTCCCTCCCACCTTTCCCCTTTACTCGGCTCTGGCCTCCTTGCTATTTCTCCCCCACCCCCACCCACCAGCCTTGGGACCTTTGTGCAGCCACGTTCCTTGGCCTTCTTTCTCCTCCATGACCCCTTTTCACCTCCTTCAGCTCTTTGTCCACTTACCACCTTCTCAGGGAAGGTTCCCTGCCCACCTATGGAAAGTGCAGCCTCACCCCACACGCCAGCCCACTCCCCTCTCTGTTGAGTTTTGTCTCCATGGCCCCATCTTCTCATATGACCCGTGATCTACTTTATTTGTTTGTCCCATTCATTACCCATCTCGCCTACTGGGCTTTGAGCTTCACGGGGGGCAGGAGTCTTGTCTGATTTGTTCATTGCCTAAAATCGGAGCCTGGCGTGTAGGAGGCGTTTGGTAAATACAAATAAAGGCTGCGATCTGAGTTCAGTGTTCACAGGGTTCTTCTGGCTTGGTGTGGGGAGCAGAGCGGGACGTCGTTTCTCACCCCCACACATGAACAACCAGAGCTCTCTCTGGCTTTCCTGCATGTCTCAGCCCCGCCTCATGTCACAAGTTTGTAAGGATGTGTTTGGTTGCCTGTCTCCCCACCCCCCAGACTTTGCCTTGGTGAGAACAGAGCCCAGGGCTGTCTTTGTGTCCCCAGCATCACCCCACACTGGGCATAAAGTATGTGTCCAGTTACTGCTTATTGAATGGATGAATGAATGCTGCATCTTCTGCTTGGAGAGTTATGCGCTTTAGCATAGTCAAGGCTCTGACAACTCCTGCAGGAAAGATAGTTTTTCTTTTCTTTTCTATCTCTGTTTTTCTTTCTTTCATTCAGAGTGTATCAGTCAAGGATTTGTAGGCTGGAGATAAAAGGTAAAAGGAAAAAATAAACTGGCTAAACAAAAAGAGAAATTATTGGCTGTGTGCAGTGGCTCACACCTGTAATTGAAGCACTCTGGGAGGCCGAAGTAGGCAGATCATATGAGCTCAGGAATTCTAGACCAGCCTGAGTAGATTGAGACCCTGTCTTTAAACATAGCTGGGCATTGTGGTAGGCACCTGTAGTCCCAGCTACTTGGGAAGCTGAGACAGGAGGATGGCTTAAGCCCAGGAGTTTGAGGTTGCTGTGAGCTATGATGCCACGGCTGTCTACCCAGGGTGACAGAGTGAGACTCTGTTTTAAAAAAGGGGTGGGATTATTAATTCACATAACCAACAGTCCTGGGAGTTCTTCTAGCCTGAGTGCCTCAGGAAACTTCCTTCCATGTTATCTTATTTTTTCCCTGTATGAGGATAAAGACAGGCTCCCCAGATCCAGTCTCATGGGGTACTTTCCTGGGAGCTTGGCTGAAACAGTTTTCCCAAATGTCCCAGTCCAGGTCCAGACTTACAGCTCAGAAGCAAGCAGCTTAGGAACCCTGGCAGAAAGAGAAGTTCTCCTGGCGGATACTCAGAGTATCTGAGTTCTGAGTATCCAGAGTATCCCAGAACAGGGCCCCCTAAAGTCCCAAGGCTGTGCCGTTATAGGTCTGATTTGAGTCATCCAATCATGGTTCCAGATGTAGTCACGGATGTGGGTGGGAGATGGAGCACCCTGCTGGGCTCTCCTGAGATTCAAGACTAAAGCCACGTGGCCATAGAACAGGCTGGAGCTGGCTGTGGGACCCAGGCGACCCCCCGCCACCACCCTGTTGCCCTGCAGTGCAGGTCAGCCCAGTGGACGCAAGGCTCACGGTGTTTGACAAGACAGAAGGGACGTGGCGGCTGCTGTGCTCCTCACGCTCCAACGCCAGGGTGGCCGGACTCAGCTGTGAGGAGATGGGCTTCCTCAGGTACTGGGGCCCCTCGGAGCGGTGGGGCTGGGAGGGGTGGGGGGAGCAGGCCTGACCCTTGCCCTGCCCAGGGCACTGGCCCACTCTGAGCTGGACGTGAGGACCGTGGGCGCCAACGGCACGTCGGGCTTCTTCTGCGTGGATGAGGGAAGGCTGCCCCATGCTCAGAGGCTGCTGGATGTCATCTCGGTGTGGTGAGGAGGGCAGCAAGGGGCGGATGGGGACGACCCCACAGACCCCCACTGCTCCCAAGGCACCCCACACCCACTCTCCCCGTTTTCCTTTTATCTGTGTTAATTGGTTTCTGTATTTTGTTTCTCTCTGTGTCTTCATCCCTGTCCCTCTCAGTGACTGCCCCAGGGGCCATTTCTTGGCTACCATCTGCCAAGGTGAGACTCTTAAACTTGAACCCCTCCCTTCCACTCTTTGTGGGCCATGTCCCCTGAGACTCTCCCCAGGGCAGGGCCAAACCTGGGCTCTGGGGGCCTGGGCAGTCCCTTCCACCTGGCCCTGACTGTCCGCTCTCCCCCAGACTGTGGCCGCAGGAAGCTGCCCGTGGATCGCATCGTGGGGGGCCAGGACACCAGTCTGGGCAGGTGGCCCTGGCAAGTCAGCCTTCGCTACGATGGGGCACACCTCTGTGGAGGGTCCCTGCTGTCTGGGGACTGGGTGTTGACAGCCGCCCACTGCTTTCCTGAGTGAGTCCCTCCCTCCCCATGCTGATGTTGGAGAGCCAGGGCAGTAGGGGGGAGCTGTGTCCGGGCAGGCTGCCACTCTCCCATCCTGTTTCCTGGTAGGCGGAACCGGGTCCTGTCACGGTGGCGAGTGTTTGCTGGGGCTGTGGCCCAGGCCTCCCCCCATGGTCTGCAGCTGGGCGTGCAAGCAGTGGTCTACCATGGGGGATATCTGCCCTTTCGAGACCCCAGCAGCGAGGAGAATAGCAATGACATCGCCCTGGTCCACCTCTCCAGCCCCCTGCCCCTCACAGGTGAGTCTGGGAGCTGCACCTTGGGTTACAGACAAAAGCCAGAAGGGAGGACAGAGGAGAGGGCAGGGGCATAGGAGAATAAACTTGTGATTCATGTGGATAAGAGGAGTAACCAAGAGGAACACAAACTGGGCATTAACTGTGAATAAACTATGTAATACAACAATTCCACTCCTAGGTACACACCCAAGAGAAAGGAGACATCTGTTCACACAAAAACTTGTTCATAATAACCGAAAGGTAGAAACATCCCCCCAAACATGCACAACCCAAGAGCATATCATCTTACAGATGGAGAAAGAAAACGTGGCTTATGCTTATAATGGAATAATATTTGACCTTAAAAAGAAAGGAGGTACTGATTTATACTACAGCGTGGACGAACCTTAAAATTTTGCGCTAAGTAAAAGAAACCAGACCCCAAAGACCACAAGCTGTAGGACTCTGTTACCATGAGGTGTCCACATTAGGCAAATCCATTAAAACAGAAAGCAGATTAGTGGTTAGTGGGGAGGGTGGTGGAGGTGGGGGTTGCATGGGGATGGGGAAGTTGAGGTTGAGGGGTGGTCAGTAAAGGCTTCTTTTGGGGGTGGTGCACTGCTCTGAATTGATTGTGGCGATGGTCACACATATCAGAATATATAAAGAGCCATTGACCTGTACCCTTGGAGTGAATTGTATAGTGTGTAAATGACAGTACAATAGAAGTGTTAGCCAAAAAAATTCAATGAAAGGAAAAAGTTAAAAGACACATGAATGAATCGAGTAGAAGGGAAGCTAGGAGTTATTCCCTCTGCACAGTCTCGAGCATTTCTTTGGTCTCTTAGACGCGGTTGGGTGCCAAGGTGTCCTTAACACCTGTGCAATGCGCTCACCTCCCTTTTGGGTTACGAGTAGCCTCAGGCTCCAGCTTTTAGCAAGCCATACTGTAATAACAGCAACAATAATAATAATGGGCAGTGCCTGTGGCTCAAGGAGTAAGGTGCCGACCCCATATGCCAGAGGTGGGGGGTTCAAACCCAGCCCCGGACAAAAAAAAAAAAAACAATAATAATAATGATGATGATGATGTACATAACACAATAAAATAAGACCATGCAGTAATAATGACGCACACCAGCTCTTGTTCCCTGCCCTCTGTGTGCCTGGCACTGTTCTGAGTATCTCAGAGATAGTAGTTTAGTTCTCACAGCCACCCTGGCCACCCTGGTGAGGGTGAGCTCTCCCTTTTTATTTTTGAGAGTCTCACTCTGTCACCCTGAGTAGCGTGCCATGGCACAGCAACCTCAAACTCACAGCTCACAGCAACCTCAAACTCTTGGGCTCAAGTGATCCTCCTGCCTCAGCCTCCCAAGTAGTTGGGACTACAGATAGGTGCCTGCCACAATGCCCAGCTAGTTTTTAGAGACAGTTCTCACTCTTGTTCAGGCTGGTCTTGAACTCCTGAGCTCAATCTATCCACCTGCTTCAGCCTCCCATAGTGTTGGGATTACAGGTGTGAGCCCCCACACCCGGTGAGGCTGAGCTCTCTTAAGATCCTGTTTTCCCACATGCGGAAAGGTTCCAACACAACAAAGGCAAGTAGCACCCCAACTTCCCACAGCTAGTAAGTGGCAAAGACTCGAGCCCAGTCCAACGGGCACTGGCACCTGTGCTTTGTGAAATGCAGGCTGTGCTGCCAGAGACCTCAGGACCACTTGGGATTTTGCATTATATTTTATTTTATGATTATTCTCTTTTTTCAAGATCTGTGGTACTGGTTTCTGATTAAAGGGAGTGATGTGTGTTTTTCTTTGAAAGAAAACCTATCTCCTTAGTGAAAAGAGTCAGGGGTGTTAAAAATATTGAAGCAAGGATGTGTGGATGGGTGAGGACACAGGTGGGTGGGCGGGTGGGAGTGGCTGGAGTTTGAGACATGTGGCTGAGGGGCGAGGGTATGGGGGCCTGGGCTTTAGAGTCAGAACTTGCCAGCTGTGTGACTTTGGGCATGTGGCTTCACCTCACTGAGCTCCAGTTTCCCTTATCTGTAAAATGACTTCCTAGGGTTGTTGAGGTGATTAAAAGGGTGAATACAAGAGCTCAGAGAGCTGCCAGCACATCACGAACACTTGGTAAATGTTAGCAGTGACTGCTGTTGTCATTCCCATTGCCAGTTTCATGAGCACTTCTTATTTGCCAGGCCTGCTACTCTATGATTCACCCGTTTCTCACTGTAGCCTCTGGGCAGGAATTATTACTATTTCCATTCAACAGTTGACTCTGAGACTCAGGCAGGTGAAGTCACCAGCTGGGCAGCAGTCAGGGCTGCCAGGACTGTTGCATGGGTTGTGCACTGCACAAGGGGACCATATTTCAGGGGTGCCATTCTCAGGGTAGCTCTGTATTTATTATGACTTTCTGACAGGTGGAAGTTGAGAGTCTCAAGATGAGGGTATCTTTTTCTGTTTCTCACCAAGGTAGACTTTAGGCTGGGGGTAGCCCCATGAAACAATGAGACTTAGGCTAAATTGGGTTAAAATTCTGCCTCTGCCATCAAATCATTATGAAACTTTGGGCAAGTGCCTTGGCTTTATTTCTCCTTCTGTAAAATGCAATAATAGTAGATCCTACCTTCCTGGGCTGGTGGAAGATTAAAGGGAATGCTGCAGGAAAGTGCCTAGCACACAGTGAGCTCTCAATAACTGACACCTTCTGTTGTAGTTATTATAAAAAGATAGAGAACAGTGTATGCCAAGAGTACGGGGAGGCCGCTGGGCAGCAGTTTGTACCAGGTGGGGCTGGCCAGTGGGGGCTAGACCAACATGGTCTCTCTCACAGAATACATCCAGCCCGTGTGCCTGCCGGCTGCTGGCCAGGCCCTGGTGGATGGCAAGATCTGTACTGTGACAGGCTGGGGCAACACGCAGTACTACGGTGAGTCCTGTCCTCTGCCATCATTAGGGAGACTCTGAGCTGAGCTGAGAAGTGCTGTCTGGCTGGTTGGATGGCTCTTAGCCCTGGGGTAGAGGGACGCTGAGGGGCATGGGATAGGCATCAGGAAGGTGGAGGGGTGTACAAGTTCCCCAGCTCTGGCCAGCCTTGCCTGCACACCACCAGGCCAACAGGCTGGGGTACTCCAAGAGGCCCGAGTCCCCATAATCAGCAATGATGTCTGCAATGGTCCTGACTTCTACGGGAACCAGATCAAGCCCAAGATGTTCTGTGCCGGCTATGCTGAGGGTGGCATCGATGCCTGCCAGGTGAGGGACAGTGTGGGGGTGGCCCCGGCCGCTGCCAGTTCAGGGATAGAGACACAGGGCAGTGGGAGGTGGGGCTCCCTCTCTCAGGGCCAGGGGTCTCTGAGGTCACAGCCCGTGACCATCGGAGAGGGCCTCCTGGCCAGCTGTTTGGGCCTCTAGCCAGGCCTTTGCTTCCCCTTCCAGGGTGACAGTGGGGGTCCCTTCGTGTGTGAGGACAGCATTTCTCGGACGTCACGTTGGCGGCTGTGTGGCATCGTGAGCTGGGGCACTGGTTGTGCCCTGGCTCACAAGCCAGGAGTCTACACCAAAGTCAGTGACTTCCGGGAGTGGATCTTCCAGGCCATAAAGGTGAAAGTTGGGCCCAGGTGGAAGCCAGGGCTGGGAACACTTGGGACACTGATGGGAAAAGAGGGAGGCAAAGATTTTTCAGGAAACTCAAGCTCAGGCCCAGAAGAGAGACCCCCAGGGAACAGACGGACTTCAGAGGACTTCCAAGGAGGGGAAGGAAGTTGTGGGACTTGGGGGGAGGCCTCTCAGACCTCAGAAGCCCCCAGTTATCTTTCCCCAGACTCACTCCGAAGCCAGCGGCATGGTGACCCAGCTCTGACCTGTGACTTTTCCTCGCTGCGTTCATCTCCAGGGTCCGAGTTCATCTAGGTGGCTCCAGCCCCATATGTGGTATTCATGCTGGGCCTAGGATGGAACATTTTTCTTCTTGGGCCCAGCCCACAGGTCCAAGGATACCCTCTAGGGTCCTCTCTTCCACAGTGGTGGGCCCACTCGCCTGGGACCACCTGAGCCTCACCCTCTCAACCCCCATGTAAATATTATTCTGCCATCTGGGACTCCCATCTAGGTGTCCCTGGTGACAGGATGCTCTTTAAATAATAAAAAATGGTTTTGATTAATGTGGACTCTGAGCTTGCAAACATAGCAGCAGTGAGGATATTTTTTGTGGAGGGGAGACAGGAATTAGGGCCTGGAACAAATCAGATGGGGAGTACAAGCTCCCCAAATTCCCACTGACCTTTGAGAGAAGATTTTAACCAGTTCACATAACTGGAAATGTGGTGGAGCTTGCTGGCTTCGGGTACTGCTGGATCTAGCTGCTCTCTCAAATATGCTTTACTTTGTGCCAACCTGCAACCAGAGACAGAGATGCCCCATTCCACGTAAACGCCAGGCTTATATGCCATGAACCAGCTTAGCCCCAGTGGAAAGGGGCTGCCTCTTCCCCAATAGCTGCAGAAAAAAAAAAGTCCCAGGCCAGGCTCTCATTGGACAGATTTGGGTCATGTGCTCATCCCTCATCCAATCACTGCACCTGATGTACACTGTGTGGGTGGGGGGATAGGTCTAAGAACTGCGTGAGCTGCACATCAGAGATTTCCCAAAGGAAAGTTGAGTGATGGTACCATAAAAAGTGAAAATAGAGGCCTGGAGCGCAAAAAAGACAGGTCGGTCTACCTTTGGCCAACACAGAAAACAGGGCCCTGGAGCATGGAGACTGGGGTGCCAAGCCCTGCGAGCACAGCCTGAGAACCTCCCACACCTTCCTCCATCTGGGCCAGGGGTGGATCCCAGCATCTAGGGAGGGAAAACACGCCCCTGTCCCGCCTTCCCTAGAGCATCTGGGATCTTCAGGGCAGCCCTGAGAGCCACCAGGGGGCACTACTGCCCCGACACGAGGAGAAATTAAGGTGTTTCCTGCCTAATGTTGGCCTCCGGCTGCTGAAAACCAGCTGCTCTATGTTTAAAAAAAAAAAAAAAAAAGGCGCTCACAGGTGCCTGATTTTAAATGGTAAAAATTATGTCAACCATCAACTGTCAGCTCCCAAGGAATCTCCTAAAATGTAGGTAGACCCAGGAAAGCGCCTCTGAATAACGAACCAACTGTGCATTTGGAAAATGCCCCAGGCGTCCTCAGTCCCTGATCCCCAAACCCTTAGCAAGGTTGATCCCCAGCAGAGCCCAGTGGGTCAGGAGTCCCAGGGGCACATGTCCTTTGAAGCACCTCAGTGCAGTTTCCCCAGACCTCTGCACGGGCTGCCAAGTCCTGCGTGTGGTCCTTGAAGGAGGTCACTCAAGTCTTGACATCCGCGCTGTTCGAAACGTATTGAGTTACACAGGGTGATTGTAAATGTTCTTTGTAATTGTTAGCTGAGAAGTGTTGTAATGTATGTGTTATGAAGTCCCGGGACTCTGAGAGGACATGGTCCACCCGGGGTTCTGAACAGATGTGACTATGTCCCGGAGGGTTTGATGGGACACAGTTAACCCTGGCAGGGAGGGGGTATGTCTAAGCAGCGGGTACCGAAGAGGGCATGGCCCTACCCTGGGGGACCTGAGCAGATCTGATGGAAATGAGGGCATCAAAAGTCAATAGGCAGTCTGCTAGGAAAATAAAAACCAGTGGGGCATCCCGAGTTCCGCCTGCCCTGGAGCAGGAGGGGGAGCAGGAGGGGTTGGAGACATTACGATTCACTCAACAGCCTTTCCCTCGTTTCCTTTATATGCCAAGAGTCAGTGAGCCTCAGTTTTTCCTCCTGTGGCCACCAACTTTGCCACTCACCCCAACTCACCCCAAGGATCCAGGAAGATATTATAGAGAAAAATAATACTAACGACCACAAGGTTGCTCTGAGGTTTCACCAGGGTCTTGGTCTTCAGAAAGGCTGAAAATTATTCTCTATTTTTTTGTTGTTGTTGCAGTTTGGCTAGGGCTGGGTTCGAACCTGCCACCCTAGGTATATGGGGCTGGTGCCCTACTCACTGAGCCACAAGCACCACCCAGCAAGATGAAAATTAACATACTTCCTTCCATGTCACGGTTGTGCTTCCCTGAGTCAGAAATGTTTGATCTATCTTATGGAATGGGTGTGACCACATTAGGAACACAAAGAGGTTTTGCATTTATATTTAGCGTTTATATCTGACTATTCCTGTTTAAATATAGAAAAGCCTTCTGGATGTTACTTAGAATGGAGCGCTCCATATGTGGTTTACAGGTTGGCACGCTCCCAGCCGAGTTTCAGTAGAAATGTACAGTTACTCTTCCATAATAGTGATTCTACACTTAAAATCACCGCCATGATTAACAAGGATTGGGAAGGCTGCTCGTTTTAGATTCAGAAGTAATAGCTGTGAATGTTCAAATAGCGGTATAAGTAGGGAGATGGATTTTAGTTTCTGCATAAAAAGTAAAGCTATTCCAATACTGCGCTTATTAAGCGAGCCGCTGTTTTAGCTCTATTGCTGTGTAACAAACCCCCCCAACCTTGGGGAGTATAGTAACAACCATTCATTATACTTTTGGATTCTTTGTCTTAGAAAGTTGCATACAAAACAGCAAGGACAGCTTGTCTCTGCTCCTTGATATCCAGTTCCTCAGCTAGAAAACACTACTGGCAAATAGGGACTGGAATAAGGAAGTTTCTTATAAGTCCGGTATCTGGGCTGAGGTGGCTCAAAAGCTGGGCTCAACGGGGACTCCTGACTCAATGGCCAACTGACTTGGGCTTCCTCCCAACATGGCTGCTCCAGGACATTTGCACTTCTCATGTACTGGCCCAAGGCTCCAGAGTAGCATTCCAGCAGGCATCGCTTTTTACACCCCATTCTCATTTCCTTTTTTTTTTTTTTTTGAGACTGAGTCTCACTTTGTCACCCTTGATAGAGTGCTGTGGCATCATAGCTCACAGCAACCTCACTCTTGGGCTCAAGCAATTCTTTTGTCTCAGCCTCCCAAGTAGCTGGGACTACAGGCGCCCGCCACAATGTCCAGCTGTTTTTAGAGATGAGGTCTTGCTCTTGCTCAGGCTAGTCTCAAACCTGTGAGCTCAGGCAATCCACCTGCCTTGGCCTCCCAGCCTCATTTCTGCTGTGTTAGCTGAAGCATTCTCAAATCTGTCCACACTCTAGGGGAGGAGACAGAGACCCCACTGCTTGGTGAGAGGTAGATCAAAAAATTAAGAGCCATGTCTAAAAACTGCCGTCAGAGCTCAGAGACTGTAGAAGCCAGTTAGAAGCTGACAAAGTAGAGCAATAATCCCTCACTAAAGCGTTCAGCCTGAAAGGTTTGCCTGCTGAAATTATGGATAATAAGATTGTGACACTAATAGCTTTGTAGTATGCTTTCAGATTTGTTCTTACATGTCAAAGAGTTCATCTTAAGATAGTGATATTCAGCTTTGGGCAAATCTCGATTTTAACACAGCTAGTTAGCCTTTGGGCACAATGCCTGTTTGTTGCATTTCTAAGTAATAGTAATTTTTATGTTAACAAATGCACCTGTGAGTGGTTTTTGAGCACTTCCTATGTGCCAGGTACTATACTGAGAGCTTTGCAATGTTATTACTTCAGTATCTCCCTAAATTTAGACATTTGAAGGTGACTGTCTTCATTTTTGCTATTCATTCATTCAACTAATATTTATTAAGCACCTATTATGTGCCACACACTGTTCCAGGTACTAGAGACACAGCAGGGAACAAAACAGACATAAACTCCTGCCCTTATTGAGCTCCGTGGGGAAGAGACCATGGACCAATACTACTGGTACTGTTGTGCCGTTTATTTAAATCGTTTCCCCCCCTTCTCTTTCTTTTTGTCTTTTTCATTTTTCCACTTAGCCTTGACTTTAACAGTAATATTTATGAAAATGGGTTTTGTGTGATAATGGAGGACAAATGTGCTTTTTGATATAAACTTAAAATATTAACTAAACAAATACTGGTAAAATAGTAACAAATGCTACCTCATTGCCCTCCTGTACTCTCCTGGAATTTCTTTGCTGGCAGCCCAGGGGCCACATTTTGGGAAACACTCGCATGAGCCGGGAGGAAGGGACTGTAGGTTTGGCAGCCTACAAAAGGGCTGCGGAATCTGTCCCAGGTGCCGCATCTGAGGGGCAAAGCTGGGGCCAGGACCTGTAACTAGAACATCTTGGGAAAAGGTGCTGAGCCCCATTCACAGCCCTTCTCTGCTGGTGATACAAGGTTCCCCCATTCAGGGACAGGGACCCCAGTTTCCTAGGCGTAGGCAATTTCATGTAAGCTGGGCCTCTTCTAAAGTGGGCAGCCTGCCTGTTTTGCCCTGAGCTGGAGGGACTACATTCATCTGTTAGTACAACATTGAAAAGGTGTTTTCCATCTGCCCATCTGCCAAGCCCTTGGACAAGTTTAATTTTCAACCTGTGGGTCCCGACCCCTTTTTAACAATGAAAATACACTGCGGCATTAGAAAGGCTGAGAACCACTGCTCTAGAAAAAACACTGCCATGAGACTTCCCACTTGGGTCTTTCCCTCTGCTAGAAGCTCTGATGCTTTTTATTCCTTCTGTATTCCTTTCTATTTTTTTTTTTTTTTTGGAGACAGAGCCTCAAGCTATCCCCCTGGGTAGAGTGCCGTGGCATCACGCTCACAGTAACCTCCAACTCCTGGGCTCAAGCGAGTCTCCTGCCTCAGCCTCCCAAGTAGCTGGGACCACAGGCGCCCGCAACAGCACCCAGCTATTTTTTGGTTGCAGCCGTCATTGTTGTTTTGGCGGGCCCAGGCTGGATTTGAACCCGCCACCTTAGGTGTATGTGGCTGGTGCCTTAGCCACTTGAGCCACAGGCGCCGAGTCTCTATTCTGTCTTAATCACTAATCTGTGGTCCATGGGTTCATTCTTGGAGACCAAGGGCCCACTGCAGAAAGAAATCCCATCAACACTGGCCATGCTTGGACACTGTGTCCCTGGGAAACATGTGTCTCCAGACACTGAGAGTGTGGGGGAGAGGCGGGGAGGATGAAGATGAGGGCCCTGCTCAGTCTAGGTGGGGTGGGAGGGAGCCTGCAAACCAGGGCCTGTGTGAATGCCTGGGCTGTGATCATACAGTGCTCAGGCTCTCTCCTCCCCAGCCCACT